GAAAAAGAAACAGCGCAGGAAACCCAGGTGTCACAATGGCCTTCCCAGAGCTCCGGGAAGCCACCGGGACGTGGGAGCTCCACAGCTGCCGAAGCCGATGACGGAGGTGTTCTAAGCCACTGGCCACTAGTTTCTGCCTCTAGAAACACCCCAGGAAGGCACCGCTCACAGGGCTCTAGCGGGAGGGCTTCCCTGTTCAAAGACTTACAACTATGGTGGGTTTTCCAGGGAAACAGATGCTGAGTGTTGACTGCCCCCTCTACCCCCACGGCTCTAGCCAGGAGGGTCTGGAGCTTGAGGCGAGGAGCTTCTGGGTTGAACAGACTGGCTGGGTGGGGATGTCATAAGGTTCCCTGACAGCCCCCCCCCCCCACTTACCCGTGGCCATCACTGCATCAAGACAGCACAAGTGAAAAAGCAGAAAGAAGTGAGGTTAGTGACAGAAACCTGAGCGCTGCAGAGATGCGGGGAGGGGCGGGCTCCTTCGGGGCCAGCACACATTCCATTTCCCACCAAGCATAACCTGGGGCCCTGGGGGGGGCAGCGGGCTTCAGCCAGGTCCCTGCAGACATCCTCCTGTCTGCTGGTGCCCGGTCACAGGCGGGCTGGTGAGTCAGGCCCGTGACGCTGGCGGGTAGCGTGGTAGGAAGTGGCGGGTGAGCGCAAGGCCTGCTGCAATCTGAGTCCCTGCTGCCACGGCCTGCAGGAATGGTTGTGTCATAGCTCCCGCCTGCCCTACTGGCTCAGAGATAGGGAAAGGACACAGAACCCGCCCCAGACGCCCGGCCAAGGCATCTGACACCACGGGTCTCCTCCAGATGGCCAGAGCTGGCCTCCCTTCCACTCTGTTAGGAAACGGAGACCGTGCCTGGGCCTGCTCCCCTGCCTCGGGCCGTGGCCCCTGCTACTGAGGCCCGGTGGCCCTGAGCTGCTGCTCCGAGCAGAATGTGCCAGTCTAGAGGGCCGTGCAGCTCCAGTGACCTGAGACCCATATGTGAGTCCTGGCTCTGGCCTTGAACATGTGACTCCATCGCTCTAGGCCTTGTTTTTCAGTTGTATCTGATGATCGTATCTATCTTAAATGATGATGTAGTAGACGATAGTATCTATTAACTTCTAGATTGCTATCGAATCAAGGACAATAGAAGAACATGTCACCTGTCAACTCTGTACAAAGGCAGGGTAGGACAGGTGGCCTTGACTAGTGGGGGGCAGAGGGACCCAACCCATCTGGCTACGCATGGCCGCTGCACCCCGTTCTCACTTTGAGGCCTCAAATCCCCAAGCACTGGTGGTCCTGGATTCTGGTTTCTCAACACCCTGCTTCTTCCTAGCAAGTGCCATGCCCTGAGGGTGGGTGGGAGGATGAGGCAGCAGTGCCGACTCTGGCTGGGCCTGGGCACTGCTGGGAACACCTCAAGGCTGCATTTTCACCCAGGCGTGGTGGTTCACACCTGTAATCCCAGCGCTTCCGGGGGCAGAGGTGGGAGTATCACCTGAGCTCAGGAGTTCAAGACCAGCCTGACGAACACGGTGACACCCTCTCTCTACTAAAAATACAAAAATCAGCCAGGTATGGTGGCACATGCCTGTAATCCCAGCTACTTGAGAGGCTGAGGCAGGAAAATCACTTGAACCTGGGAGGTGGAGGTTGCAGTGAGCCGAGATCACACCATTGCATTCCAGCCTGGGTGACAAGGGTACAAATGTGTCTCAAAAAAAAGAGACTGCATTTTTGGATGGGCGCTGTGGCTCATGCCTGTAATCTCAGCACTTTGGGAGGCTGAGGTGGGAGAACTGCCTGAGCCCAGGAGTTCCAGACCAGCCTGGGTAAAATTGAGAGAATTGGTCTTTATGAAAACAAAAAATTAGCCAGGCGTGGCGGCACACACTCATAGTCCCAGATACTTAGCAGGCCGAGGTGGGAGGATCCCTCGAGCCCATGAGCTGGAGGCTGCGGTGAGCTGTGAATTGCACCACTCACTCCAGCCTGAGTGGCAGAGCAAGACCCCAGCTCACCAAAAAAAATGACGGCCTTTTCCCAGCGGGCAGCGGCCTTGCTAGTTAGGGCTTCCCGAATCTGCACTCCTGCTTGATGGCGGGTCTCAAATGCCAGGAGGCAGCTGGGTCAGCGGCCGGCGGCTAGGCCCGGAGTCTACGTGTGGTACCAGCTCCCAGGAGCCTTGGCTGCAGGTGGCCATGGGGCGCAGTGGGGGCAGGTGGCTCTGCTGGTTCCAGGCGCTCCTCAGCAGCACCGCATGCCTGCTCTCGGGGAGCCCCAGAGCTCATGAGCGTGGGGAAAGGGACCCGGACCCAGCGGCCGTCTCTCTGGGCACAGCTAGGCCGTGGTGTTGGGTGCAACAGGTCACGGGAGGAGGACGGGGAAATCCAATGGCCTGTTTGCCACAGACCAATCTTCTGGCCTGGCTTCCTCTAACTTCCTGAAATTGACTTTTCAAACATAGGAAACAGTTGGAAAAATTCCTCTTGGGCAGCAAAAGATGTCTCAAGAGCTTTCGTAAAAGACCCTGACTCAGCGGCCGGGAGATGTGCCTCTCAGGGCCAGGAGCTGGCTCTCTGCACACTTGGCAGTTTCCACCGCTCTGGGCCTGAGTATTTATCAGGCCAGCCATGGCGGTTTACGTCTGTAATCCCAGCACTTTGGGAGGCCAAGGCGGAACAATCCCTTTAGCCCAGGAGTTTTGAGACCAGCCTGGGCAACACAGCAAGACCCATCTCTACAAAAAATTTAAAAATTAGCTGGGTGTGGTAGCATGCCTCTGGGGAGCGCTGAGAGGTCAAGGCAGCAGTGTCTGTATCACCGCAGTCCAGCCTAGGCAGCACAGAAACGCAGAAAGAGACCCTGTCTCAAAAAAACAAGGAAAAAAACCATATAATAGATTGGCTTTCCCCAAATCGTGTTCCACAGATTTTTTTTTTTTTTTGGAGATGGAATCTTGCTGTGTCGCCCAGGCTGGAGTGCAGTGGTGTGATCTTGGCTCGGTGCAACCTCCGCCTGCCAGGTTTAAGCAATTCTCTGCCTCAGTCTCCCGAGGAGCTGGGATTACAGGCGCCCACCACCATCGCTGGCTAATTTTTGTATTTTTAGTAGAGACAGGGTTTCACCATGTTGGCCAGGCTGGTCTTGAATGCCTTACCTTGTGATCTACCCACCTTGGCCTCCCAAAGTGCTGGGATTACAGGCATGAAGTACCATGCCCGGCCCTTTTTTTTTTGAGATGGAGTCTCACTCTGTTGCCCAGATTGGAGTGCAGTGGCATGATCTCGGCTCACCACAATGTCTGCCTCTTGGGTTCAAGTGATTCTCCTGCCTCAGCCTCCTAAATAGCTGGGATTACAGGCACCTGCCACCATGCCTGGCAAATTTTTGTATTTTTAGTAGAGATGGGGTTTTACCATGTTGGCTAGGCTGGTCTTGAACTCCTGACCTCAGATGATCCACCTGCCTCAGCCTCCTAAATAGCTGGGATTACAGGCGCCTGCCACCACGCCTGGCAAATTTTTGTATTTTTAGTAGAGATGGGGTTTCACCATGTTGGCTAGGCTGGTTTTGAACTCCTGACCTCAAGTAATCCGCCCACCTCAGCCTCCCTAAGTGCTGGGGTTACAGGCATGAGCCACTGCGCCCCGCCTAGGCGCCCAGTTTCACAGTAGAACCGGCGTGAGTGATCTGATTCTGTCTGTTATCTCACTTTTATTAAAGCTGGATGTCTCACCCCGTAAAAAACTGGTTACCGATTCTTCACAAGGCCTAGGGTATCTTTGCCTTGATAAAAACAAGTAAACCATCAAAAAACAGTTGCATCCCATGGAGGCTGCCAATAAAAAGGGTTTTGAGTGCGTGTGCCGCCTAGGGATGACTAGGGCTGACTCAGCTCAGGCCCCGGGAAGTCCTGACTTTCTTTGCAGAATCAAAACCTCTAATCAGCTGCAGTCCTGTGCTGTTTTGGAAAAGTGGAGTGTGGGTTATCAGCCGTGTCTGCTGGAGCCGGCAAGCCTCGACTGGATCCCAGGCTGGGAGAAAGCCCGCGCCCTGCCCTGTTTCTCGGTGAGGGACGAAGATCAGGGTCAGCCACTTGCCCCGGCGTCTCCAACCACACCCTGACCTCCATGCGCAGGGTGTCCATGCACCCCCCGTGCTGCTTTCTGGGAGGACTGAGGGCATGACCTGCTGTCTTTCAGCTGCACTGGGGTGCAGGGCTCTGTTCTGTGCCACGTTTTCCTTTGCAGCACACACGGCAGCCTCCCCCTCAGACATGGAAAACGCATATACCACATCCCATGCACAGCAGCCATTTTGGTCCTTCCCTCCCTCCTGGACCAGGAAACCCTGATGGGGACATGAAAGAACGGGTGGGGCTGGTGGTGATGAAAGAGCTCTGCTAGGCAAGCAGTGCCCGGAGGTGGCCGTCCGCAGCCCTGCCAGCCTAGCTCAGCTTCACACATCCTGGGCTGCGGCCAGTGGCTAGGCTCAGGCCAGAGTGACTGTGACTGCCTTCCCGGGAGGCGGCCAGGGTGCCTACCTGTCTTCTGGTCGCCGCTGACCAGGAACTTGAGGATGTTGTTCATGGCTCCCATGTAGAAGATGAGCCGAAGCTGGGTGACGCACATGGTGACAAGGCTGAGCAGCAGGATGGGGCTGAACACGCTTTGCATGAAGGATGGGGCCGCTGTGGGAGAGGCCCTGGGCTCAGAGCTGGGCACACCGTCCCCACCACCCGGGGCTATGCAAATCCTTCCACACTGGAGGCCAGGAGGCCCCCTGGGATGGGCCTGGTGAGGGTGATGGGCTTGGCACTGCCGTGGGGTCACCCCCTGTGTGAAATCAGTTGGGGAAATCCCTTTCCCTTCCCAGGCCTCTGCAGAACAGGGCAGGTGGGGCTGCCTCCCCTTTTGAGGTGAAGTGGGAATGGGGCAAGCTGATACCCACGGAGCCCCCTCCCTGTCGCCCGACTGCCATCTCAGGAGGGTACCTGCAGCGTCTGGCTGGCACTTCACCTCCAGGTCGACGGTGGACAGGCACAGCTTGTGGCCCTCCTGCAGTGCCACCTGCTCCTTGGCATTCCTCATGGAGCTGCCCACGCTCAGGCGGCGGCCCACCGTGGTCACCTGCTTGTAGAACTGCTTCCCTGTGATCTTGTGGTCAAAGCCCAGCCAGCTGAACTTGATCTTCACCCTGGGGCCCGGTAGAATGTCTGTGGGTGCCACCTGCGACCCCGGCTTGAAGAGTGTCTATGGTGCTGCCCAGAACCCCAGCTTGGGGGAAATAGGGCCAGGGCCCTGGGAGAGAGTCTGTGGGCACTGTGTGGGACCGTCGCCGGAAGGGGCAGGGCAGAGGGCTGGGGAGAGTGACTGTGGGCACTGTGCAGGACCCTGGCTCGGGGTGGCAGGGGGCAGGGCAGAGGGCTGCAAAGAGTGACTGTGGGCACTGCCTGGGACCCTGGCTCGGGGGGGCGGGCAGGGCAGAGGGCTGGGGAGAGTGACTGTGGGCACTGTGTAGGACCCTGGCTCGGGGGGGGCGGGCAGGGCAGAGGGCTGTGGAGTGTGACTGTGGGCACCGCCTGGGACCCTGGCTAGGGGGGGTGGGGGGCAGGGCAGAGGGCTGGGGAGAGTGACTGTGGGCACCGCCCGGGACCCTGGCTCGGTGGTGGGGTGGGCAGAGGGCCCAGGAGAGTGACTGTGGGCTGCCCGGGACCCGGGCTGGGGTGGGGTGGGGTGGGGCCCAGGGCACCTTTACTTACGAGTAGTCCATGTCCTCCGGCCCGGGGAAGGGCTCCAGGGGCCAGTTAAAGAAGCAGTTGAGGAAAACCAGCCCAGAGCAGCCGGCCCAGACCACAAGGATGGCGATGAAGGAGATGCCAGCATCGTAGATGAGCTGACGAGCACCGTGGGGTGGGGATGGGGTGAGGGAAGGACAGAGTTAGCCAAGGGAGACAAGAGCCGGTAGATGGGGCACCGGCAGCCCCTGCTGTCCCTGTGCTGAGCCGTGTGAGAAGGCACAGCCCTGCCAGCCTGGACGTTTGGACATCAGACCCCCACCCTCCAGTCCTCCCACCGTGCCTGCCCTGCTAATTATCTGGGCCCGGGGTGTCATGAACCCCCCCGACTCGGAGGCCTTCCCGACGGCCCGCCGAGATCACGACATGGCTCTTGGGCTCATAGTGAACAGCCCGGCAGAGGCGATGGTACCTCGGGCCCATCGGCTTGTCTGGTGTGAGTGGAGCTCCCTGAAGACAGGCTGGCCCTGTCCATGGATATTTCCCCTGAGCCCTGGAGAGCTCCCATGGCAGAGAACAAAGAAATGCTCCCTCAGACCCCATGCGGTGGGCGTGCACCGGCCTGGGTCCCCGGCGCTGTGGGGGCTGCTGGGTATGGCCCTGGCAGAGTGCTTGGCACGGGACCTGGCCAGCGGGTAGCCTACTGGGCATGTTCGCTGCAGTCATGAGTACCAGCGACTTCCAGCAGTGACTGAGAGTCCCTGAGGCATTGGCAGACAGTTATCCAGCATGCCAGGGAGGACCTGGCAGACAGTTACCCAGCGCACCAGGGAAGACGCCGACATGAGCCAATGAGAAGAGGAGGAGGAGGAACTTGTGGGACCCGCCTCGTCCAGGGGCGCAAGAATCTCAGCAAGTCCACAGGATGGCTGGCACCGAGTCCCAGCTCCCACCGCCTCGATGCCCAGAAGGCCACCCCACACCGTGGCACCTGAACTCTCCCAGCCAGCAGCCTTCCCACACGCACCCCTGAGGAAAGGGGCTTCTCTCCAGTGTCAGGGCCAGAGGCAAGAGTAGCCCCTGTGGGGCCCTGGGCAGAGCCACGGGATTTGGGGTAGGAACTCGGGCGGATGGGCTGTGGGGTGTTTGCTTCATCCTGACCCTGTGTTGACTTCCACAGGTCGGAGTCCTGCCTGGGAGGGAAATAGCTGAACCAGCTTGGCCAGGAGCAGTGCTTTGGTGGATGGAGCAATGGCACAGTAACAGCCGCCAGTGAGCGGGGGAGACAGGGAGCTGGGGGCCGGGGAGCCGGGGGAGACAGGAGCTAGACTCAAGTCTGAGACAAACTCACCCCCCGCCCTTTCCCTGCCCCAGCCCAGAAATGCACAGGCGCCTGCAGCAGAGCCCACAGCACATGTGTGAGTCCTGCCCCCGAGGCCATGTGGTTCTCGTTTCTCGCTCCTGATGCCAGGTGCATCCTGCCAGGGTGAGGGTGCTGGGGAGGGGGCACCCCCGGTGCCCGCAACTGCCTCCCTCTCAGAGAGGGCAGACGGAGGCTGGAGCAGAGCTGATCACGGACGCCAGTGCTACTCATGCTCACCTTGATTCCCGGGAAGGTGACGGCCGAGGAGGCGTAGGACCCAATCATCAGGGCAATAAACGTGGACCGAAGGTCTCCGAACATGTTGGGCAGCTGAGAGATAAGAAGCAGGGAAGCCTCAGCGGGAGGAGGCACCAGGGAAGCTCAGGAGGAGCGGGAAGATGACCAGGCCCATCGGCCCCTCTTCACCTGTGCCCCTCCTGTGTGACTCACAGGGCAGTAGTCCAGAGGTGATGACCGCTCACTCAAAGTGTCTCCTCTCTGCACCAGGGCTGATACAGGAGAGGAGGGAGGTCACACAGGGTACAAGTGGCTGCCTGACTGCAGCGGGCAACCCTCCCCGCTTCTCTGCTCCTAGCAGAACCCAAGAGCCTTCTTGTCCCTCCAGGGTAATGTGGAGATGCCAGAGAACAAAGTTATGAGCCTCAGGCAGCCCTCAAAGGGAGAGAGCCTGTTAAAAATACGCATCTATTTGGGGATAATCAAGTCATTTTATAAATAAAAATATCAGCATCCCAGAAAGACCAGATGTCAGCAAAAACTGCTTTTGGTTTGGAGAGGGTAGATTTTTGGAAGGTGTCAATCAGAATTCAACAGTTCTCTCTGGTCTGGTGATGAAGACGGCCCAGGAGTCCTGCTTCTAAATTTCTTTCTTTTGAGATGGGGTTTCGCTCCTGTCGCCCAGATTGGAGTGCAGTGGCGCAATCTCGGCTCATTGCAACCTCCGCTTCCCGGCTTCAAGCGATTCTCCTGCATCAGTCTCCCGAGTAGCTGAGATCAGAGGCACCCACCATCACGCCTGGCTAATTTTGTATTTTTAATAGAGATGGGGTTTCTTCCATGTTGGCCAGGCTAGTCTCAAATGATCTGCCTGCCTCGGCCCCCCAAAGTGCTGGGATTACAGGCGTGAGCCACTGCGCCTGGCCCCCAGCTAGCCCTTAATTATTTTTGTAGAGATGGGGTCTCATTATATTGCTCAGGCTAGTCATGAACTCCTAGCCTCAAGCGATGCTCCCAGCTTGGCCTCCCCAAACAAAAACTAAACCATTTTGTGTTATCAAACCTGCCTACCTACAAGCAAATTAATTGCAGTGAGGAGAGGCAGTCCGCACATGGCGACATGCCTGCCTCTAATCATTTCTGCCTGTTTTGCCCACAGTTAAAAATGAGTCAGAGATATTGTCAAAATTTACACCTTCTGTGCTTTAAAGGATGGCATTGACAAAGTGAAAAGAGCTGGGAGTGGTGGCTCAGGCCTGGCATCGCAGCACTCTGGAAGGCTGAGGCGGCAGGATTACCTGAGTGAGGGCAGGAGTTGGAGAAAGTGAAAAGAATGCACAGAATTCGAGAAACTTCTTACAAACCATCGATCTAATCAGGAGCTTGCATCTAGAGTATGTAAAGACAGCACTCAATAGTCATTCAAGAAACAAAAAATAGAACATAGAAGAACCGCTACAATTCAATAATGAAATGATAAATAACCCATTTGTTTTTTGTATGAAGCCTTGCTGTCTCCCAGGCTGGAGCGCAGTGGCGCCATCTCGACTCACTGCAACCTCTGTCTCCTGGGTTCAAGCGATTCTCCTGCCTCAGCCTCCCGAGCAGCTGGAATTGCAGGTATGTGTCACCGTGCCCAGCTAATTTTTGAAATAACAAATTTTTTTAAATGGGCAAAGATCTGAATAGACATTTCTCCAAAGAAGATATACAAATGGCCACTAAGCGTATGAAAACAAGCTCAACACCATTAATCATAGTGAAATGCAAATCAAAACCACAGTGAGATGCCACTTGATACCCACTAGGGTATCAAAAAGTCACAGTCAGACGGGGTGCAGTGGCTTACACCTATAATCCCAGTACTTTGGGAGGTCGAGGCTGGCGATCACTTGAGGCCAGGAGTTCAAGACTAGCCTGGGCAACATAGTGAGACCCTGTCTCTACCAAAAATACGGAAAATTAGCTGGGTGTGGTGGAATATGCCTATAATCCCACCTACTTGGGAGGCTGAGGCAGGAATCGCTTGAACCCAGGAGACAGAGGTTACAGCAGTGAGCCGAGATCGCGCCACTGCACTCCAGTCTGGGTGACAGAGCAAGACTTCATTTACAAAAAAAGAAATGACACCAGGCACAGTGGCTCACACCTGTAATCCCTGCACTTTGGGAGGCTGAGGTGCGTGGATCACCTGAGGTCAGGAGTTCAAGACTAGCCTGGCCAACATGGTGAAACCCCATTTCTATAAAAATGCAAAAATGACCTGGGCATAATGGCAGGTGCCTGTAATCCTAGCTACTCTGGGGGCTGGGGCAGGAGAAACACTAGAACCTGAATGGTGGAGGCTGCAGTGCCCCGAGATCATACCACTGCACTCCAGCCTGGAGACAAAGTAAGACTCTGTTTCAAAAAAAAAAAAGAGAATGCTCTGCAGACAGCGTGCCAGGGAGGCCTTTGCCCTACCTTCTTAACCTCAAGCCTGGTTTAACCCTACCTAGGCTGCAGACCAACAGAGCCACAGGGATTTGGAGTGAGCTCATGGCTCTGCCCGGTCTTCTCCCCAGCACTAGATCCAGGATGGGGAAGAGCAGAACCCGGGGAAAAGGCCGACTCTCCATCTGTCCACGGATGAGGCCCTTGCCTGCAGGCCTGGACAAGGCAGGGGCCTCCCCGACGCTTCCTTTGATACCCTGTCTCTTGCCGCCTGGAACGTTCTTATAAGCACCAAGAAAATTCTTTCCAACATGTGATTCTGGTCAGCAGGGCCATTCCTTAGCAGGGTAGAGTGCCTTAGGGGAGCCCACACTAGGCAACCTTCAAACCAACACCGACATTTGTATTTTAAATTGTGAACTTTTCCTTACTAAAGTAATGCATGGGCCAGGCGCGGTGGCTCACATCTGTAATCCCAGCACTTTGGGAGCCTGAGGCAGGCGGATCACGAGGTCAAGAGATCGAGACCATCCTGGCCAACATGGTGAAACTCTGTCTCTATGAAAAATACAAAAATTAGCTGGGCGTGGTGGCATGTGTCTGTAATCCTAGCTACTGGGAGGTTGAGGCAGGACAATCACTTGAACCCAGGAGGTGGAGGTTGCAGTGAGCCAAGATCGCACTGGGCACTACAGCCTGGCGACAGAGCGAGACTCTGCCTCAAAAACAAGAAAAGTAATGCATGTTTATTGCAAAATGTTTGGAGCAAAGTATAAAAAGAATAAGGTGAAAATCACCCTAAGGCCAGACATAGTGGCTCATATCCATAATCCCAGCACTTTGGGAGGCTGAGGCAGGCGGATCACTTGAGGCCAGGAGTCCAGGACCAGCCTGGCCAACATGGTAAAGCTGTCTCTACCAAAAATACAAAAAATTAGCCAGACATGGTGGTGGGCACCTATAATCCCAGCTACTTGGGAGGCTGAGGCAGAAGGATCACTTGAACCTGGGAGGCAGGGGTTCCCATGAGCAGAGATTGAGCCATTGCACTCCAGCCTGGGTGACACAGTGAGACTCAGTCTCAAAACAAAACAAAAAACAAGACAAATAACAACTATATATGTGTGTGTGTATACATACACACGTTTGAATGGACTTCCTTGAGGATCAACGTTTGTGCACACAACTATTTTTATTTTCTTTTTTTGTCATGGACCATACCTGAGACTTAAAACTATTATTTCTTTAAGGTGAATTCCTGAAAGTAGAATCATTAGGCAAAAGAGAATATACTTCTTTTTTTTTGAGACGGAGTCTCACTCTTGCCCAGGCTGGAATGCAGTGGCATGATCTTGGCTCACTGCAACGTCCGCCTCCCGGGTTCAAGCAATTCTCCTGCCTCAGCCTCCTGAGCAGCTGGGATTACAGGTGCCCACCACCACCCCTGGCTAATTTTTGTATTTTTAGTGGAGACAGGGTTTCACCATGTTGGTCAGGCTGGTCTCGAACTCCTGACCTCAAGTGATCCGCCTGCAATGTTGACACCTAACATTTCATCCTTGAAATTTTACCTGTAGATACAGAAAGAATGGGTCTATATGAGGGTATCATTAAGCTCTTGCGTTGCACATCCACAGTCTCTGCAGGGTTGCCATGGTAACGACTGATTTTCCACCTCTCCCAGTTTGGTGAGTTTTTTTCTGTTTTTCTTTTTTTTTTTTTTCTTTTCTTTTCTTTTTGAGATGGAGTGTCCCCCTGTCGCTCAGGCTGGAGTGCAATGGTGTGATCTCGGCTCACTGCAACCTCTGCCTCCAGAGTTCAAGCGATTCTCCTACCTCAGCCTCCCGAGTAGCTGGGACTTATCAAGGGCACACCACCATGCCCAGCTAATTTTTTTTTTTTTTGAGACAGTTTCACTCTTGTTGCCCAGGGTAGAGTGCAGTGGCGCGATCTCCGCTCACTGCAACCTCCGCCTCCCAGGTTCAAGTGATTCTTCTGCCTCAGCCTCCTGAGTAGCTGAGATTACAGGTACCTGCCACCATGCCTGGCTAATTTTTCATTTTCAGTACAGATGGGGTTTCATCATGTTGGCCAGGCTGGTGTCAAACTCCTGACCCTCAGGTAATCTGCCCACCTCTGCCTCCCAAAGTGCTGGAATTACTGGCATGAGCCACTGTGCCTGGCCCCGGCTAATTTTTTGTATCTTTAGTAGAGACAGGGTTTCGCCATGTTGGCTGGGGTGGTCTTGAACTCCTGACCTCATGATCCACTGCACCTGGCAGTGTTTTGTTTTTTTTTTTTAAGTAAAATGTCTGAAATAGAAAAATGTTGCACTTATTTCTCTTAATGCAGTGAAAACAGTGGAAGTTTGCAGATTTTAAATTCTTAAGTCCGAGCTGGGACAAGACCGCTCTCAAAAGGGTCTGTTCAACACACTAACTCCAGGTTTGGGAGCCATCACTGAGCTGCGATTAAACCTGCAGGCATGCATTTTACAGAGTGGTGGAATCTCATTCCCATATGCAGCCAAGCTTCCAGATGTAGCCAGGAGAACCCAAATGTTCCCTGGAGCCCGAGATAGCTAATAAGCACTCAGGCCTGCCAGGCTGCCGAAGACGAGCCCCACAGCCAGGGAGGCACACTATCTGCCTTCGCACAGC